AACATTTTTAACCAATTATACCAACTTTGAATACACAAACAAAAAATGAAGATAATTAATGAACTTAAGAAAAATCAGCTAACTTAATAATCGCAAGGGCTGACAAAGGGAATAAACCTGTCACACTTAACAAGAGTTAATACATTGTATTAATGAATGAAGGTTTAGGTGACTCGTCAAGTACATAAAATTAGATTAAAACTAAAGTCCCTTCAATGAGAAACAAATAAAAAAACTGCAAAAAGATTATTGCATTAGTTATCAAATAAGTAATTGAAATAGTGTAGTAACCCGTAACTGTAGGAATATCAAAAATATGTAAAACACTACTAATAATCTAACCCAGGGATTCTCAACTTTTCCTCCATCATTAACCCCCCTCGGCTTGATGTATTTCTCCATTTACCCCCTTACTTCCATACAAAAAATTCATAGCCATCATAAAGGGACAGAAAAACAAGAAGATCAAAAAAAATATTATTCAGGTTTTGCACAAAAATAGCACACACACACACACACACACATTCTTAGCATTCTCTCTCTCTCTCTCACACACATACACATTTTACGAAATGAAATTTAATTGAATTATTATTCAATCATCAAGTACATCAATTATTTACCCCCTGCCATGTAATTTTTTACCCTCAAGGGGTAAATTTACCCCTGGTTGCGAATCACTGATCTAACCTATATAAAAGCCAGTGTGTGTCACGTCATGCTTGATTTCTCGAAATCGGAGTCATAAAAGCCAAAATGAATTTATCCAGATAGAATAGTTCGATTACTGTCTGCCCATTACGATTTTAGTGACGGGGATGCAAGGGTGCCGTGAAACCTTGAAAGTGTAGTGAATGTTGGTATAATAAGCCTAAAGTAAAGGCGTAGTGGGATCACCTAGCCTAGAACTAAGTGCATAGAATTTATCATGAAAGTAAATATATCGATTCAATTTTAGATATAAATTGTTTCTGAATTAAGTTATTTTCTGTTATTTCACTAACGTTTTTAATCAATTAAGAAATCAACAAATATTTTTCAAGTTTTGTTGTCTGTACATTTCATTTTATACTTTCAGTACATGGACAATATTAGGTTATACTTTTGCTGCTAAGCGACATGACATAAAAGCCATTGTTAAAACGTAGTGTTACCAAAACGCACTGGTTTTTCTATATAATAGAAGTTGTTAACCCAACCGATTTTTACCAATAATTATTCTATGAATGATCTTAATTTTGATTGGCTCACAAAGGAATTTATCGACGTTTGACTGCCTCGACTGCACTTTTCGGCCTCTTTGTTGGCCAAGCTTAATTTCGCAAAGTTTATTTATTTCAATTAGTTTCAAGTTAAGCACAAAGCTACACAATAAGCTAGCTGTGCTCTGCCCACCATGGGTATCGAAACCCGGTTTCCTGCGTTGTAACTCCGCAGACATACCGCTGTGCCACGGAGGGGTGGGGGCAGTTAACTATGAAAGGTGAGGTTAGAGTATACTATAGGGTGGTGGAGTGGGGTTAGAAGTACTTGCCCCGTCATTTTTGACGGGCTATACGCTAGTCCGTTTCATAATGTTCGCTTTCAACTACAACCTTGAAATCTTTCGTGCTTGGATAATTTCACAATACAACACCTTTGAAAATATAGTAAAAAATACATCTCATTTTATACAGTTCTTGAAGAAATTAAATCAAACTAAAATTACAAGCTTTGATATACAAAATCTTTATACTCAAATTCCTCTAGTAGAAGCATTCAAGAAAGAGAGAGATCACTTCAGTACAGCCATACATGCTCCTGTACATTGGATGGGCGATGTTGATGTTTTACACTGACCTAGAGAAACTGCTTTTTTTAAAACATATCAACAACATTCGCCTTAACATCCACTTCATCATTGAATATGTCTGAACGTCTCCATACTTTTTCAAATATTCACATCATTAGGAAATCAAGTGTCTTAAATGACACTCGTTTTGTAAGAAACCAATGCATTCAACACAGTATGTAGACTAGAAATTTGCATACCATCCACAACAAAAATTTAGAAAACTAAAAGAAATAGTTCAAATCGCCCTTGACATAAGTATCCCAACAATTAAAACAGTGACTTAAGGATAATATTTGAGTTTTTCAGGCATAAAAATGGTTATTCAAGATAAAATATAACAAAATCAGTTAAACCAAAACAAAGAGATCCATAACACTATTCCTTTCGTAGAACAAGACAGGAACAACCTTATCGGAATACAAAAACTCCTCATCAAAAATAACAACATTAACATCAACTCGTTATTTATACATCGTTGGAAGAAATAATCTCAAACAAAATGACATCAAAGGAATCATATTTTATCTTGGTAGAACTGGAAGAGAACCTGTTTGTTTTTGTTTTGAATTTCGCGCAAAGCTACGCGAGGCCTATCTGCGCAAGCCGTCCCTAATTTAGCAGTGTAAGATGAGAGGGAAGGCAGCTAGTCATCACCACCAACTGCTGATTAAAAAAAGGATTCACGCAAGTGCGTAATACTCCTTTCTTATAAGCAATATCTGATAGTCAAACATCCAAGCTATGCAAGGTTTCTATGCCTTTATTGGATGTATCTCTCTTACCTTTATAGCATTTGATGTAACAAATGATCTTTCATTTAAATATTTTTTAAGCTCAGCCGCAAAGTAGTTTGTTTGTTTGTTTGTTTTTTTAATTTCGCGCAAAGATACACGAGGGCTATCTGCGCTAGCCGTCCCTCCCTAATTTAGCAGTAAAAGCAAGAGGGAAGGCAGCTAGTCATCACCGCCCACTCTTGCGCTACTCTTTTACCAACGACTAGTGGGATTGACTATCACATTATAACGCCCCCTCGGATTGCGAGTCGAGCTCCCTAACCACCTAGCCATGCCGGGTCGGAAGAGATCCAAGGATAAAAAAAAAACACTTTAAAGGGCTGTCCTATGTTTTTTGCACATTTGAAAGAAACCGAATACTTTACGAATTGAAACTAATATAAACAGAAGGTCGCCAAAGCTATTCTGATGAAAAAGTGAAAACTTTCTTTTAAGTAATATCCTCTATATCCCTACTAATTAGAATCCAAAACATGCAAGTAAATAAGTAGTCACAAATTCAGAAATTTAATCTGATGGATATGATATAACGTTCATTGGCTTATCCGTGCATTGCTAAACAAGTATTCTTGCCTTTTTTTAAGTTACAAAATTGCAATATACATGTAAGCACGAGTATATTGCACGTTTATATACAGTAGAAATATTTAACGATTTCCGCAGAATTTGGGATTGACAAATTAAATGTTATGTTGAACCCACAAAAGAATATCTAAACACACACGTACGAAGATGTAAAATTATTACAGAAATACTCAAGCACTGATAAATTTATGATCAAAATACTCCTAAATCGTAAATGTACCTGACCCAAAAACTTCCAAATTGGATTTTGCTTTACACTCGGTATTATTCATACCAAGCCAGACTGTGCGGCTGTTAAAATTAATTTACCATTCTTTAAATTTTCAATAATAACAATAAATACTAATAAAAGTTAATTTTTGTGTAAAGAAACAGCCGACAGTTTCTTATGAATGGTCACAAAAAATATGTTTATTCCATAAACTTGCGTATTCTAAACTTATTAAATTTACCATCTGACGCAATAATAAGTTTTTGTGTTACCGAATACAAGTACATTGATAGATGCAATTGGTCTGAACATTTTAGCTTTAATAATGAGTTATTTTGAAGCTTGGTCAGCATTACACAAATTTTTATACATTTATATTTATTCCTAAATGCACCGAATCTGCCCAATTTCAGAAACACGAATTCAGCTGGTAGGAATATTCTGTACTTCTGTGGTATATGTAGGTGAAACTGGATTAATTTTTTAAAGTATTTCAGATAGGGCGGTTTGATGACACGAGATTCGATCAAGTTATCGATTACAAATAGTACTACACTTTTTTTTTGCTAACCAAGTCAGTGCAAAATAAAATAATGAGATTGGACACGTAGTGAAATACAAAAAAAAAAAAAAGTATAATCTTTATCAAACACTAACCAAACAGTGGTGAACCTGTTTTAGAATACAATGGACAATCGCTTTTATTAGATGCTCTTTGTGGCTTATTCTTCAAGATTCTATTCCAGATTGTTTAAATGGAAGGTTCCAGAGTTTGCAAAAAATCTTGCATTTAACCAACATTTCCCATGTGACTAGTCATTCTTATTACAACATGTGTGAGGGCATAACCTCTGGATATTTGAATTATTACTGATGAAGGACACTGCTATTGATATCTTTGCAAAACATGCATTACTGAGCAATATTACTCCCACTATACCAGATGAAGAGAATCTCCATCAACAATTACTCCCAAAAAACATATACAAGAGATAAACCCAAACTACTAACTTGTACATGTCTCTATATCACCCCATGCAATGAACTTAAACTCGCTCTCACAGAGCAGACACGGAAAATGGTCAAGTTGACATAAGCTTTTTGTACTAGTTGTTAGAGTATCTAATCTTTACCCAATATAGGGAATTAAAGTAGGATTATGACCTTGGTACCTCTAGCTTATCAGGAAGATACTAAATTCACACGCAATACCTGCATGAAAATTTAGAAAAATAGCCTGAATGTATATCAATTAAGATTTATTCTGTACTAGTTATTTTGTAAAAATCATGTGCAGTCTTTTTAGTGATATTAATATTTTTTGGTTGAATGGTCATTAAGTAAGTATTTTGACTTATGAACTATTCATATTTATTTGTATATACACTAAAGTTTTTGTTTGGTGAAAATATAAATGAAATGTTAGGTTATACAAATTTAAGAACGAGATATAGTTGATCTGGCATTATGTGAGGGTAATGATGAAATGAAAACTTACAATAAAAGCAAAGTTATAAAAAAAAATAGAAACATTACCTTTAATTTTTTTTTAATATAAATGATTGAGCCATACTGCATTTAACCACGTTTATTGTCACATATTAGTCATTAAAGTGTTCAGACATTTTTAAACAAAACGCACACAAATACATAAGAAAGTGTTTACACACGTCTTGAAATTCTTCCTATCGAACAAATTATTTACTACAAAGTCAGATAATTTCTTTTGTACAATATAAAAAAAAAAAATACCTGTCAATTACTACGCAAAAAGATTGAATGAGATATAGTAAACAAAACTTCACTGTTTCAGTACCCATTCTGAAAGATTAATCAAAATTCATAATGTACTACATAACAGCTCTATTCAAGTCGAGGTTTTACATTTTGCCGACATTCTCAAAATCAACTTTAAATTATTTTTGGAGTAGCTTTATAAGAATATATACAATTTATTGAAAGGTTCTGTACCAAACAGGTGATTTCTCCATCAATACATCCTCCTGTTTATCACAAATATATATAAAAAAAAAAATTCACATTACATACTATACATTTGTACTCGTACAAGTTTAATCATTTAAATATTATGTAAAATAGTTTTACTAAGTTTTTATCTTGAACAACTTAAATGTGCTACTATTTAACAAAATAGTTTACACCAAATCCCACTCTTTTTCTTCAGGTTTTTCTTTTCTTGGATCATGTTTTGAAACTCCTGTCTGTATTTCATAAAGAAAAATGTCAATCTTTTAAGTATTGAGAAAACAGATTGTAAATTACACTAAAACAGGTGTTCAATTTCTTACAAGATCCTTGAATATTTAAATAAAATATAAGGTTTGTACTGAAAAGAAAAAAAAAAAAAAAAATTAGTTTGCATTATCATTTACCAATGCTATTGTTATAATGACTAATATTCTTAATACACACAATGAGCTCAAAAATGATATACGTAAATACTAGATATGCATTCTATATTTAACAAATCCTCCACCCCAAACTAATTTTTTCAAACCAAGAGTATAATAATGTACAAAACATGTACAAAAAACATTTGTCACGTCTTGTACAAGATTGTAATCTATCATTAAATACTTATTGTATAGATAAAATTATTTCCTAATATTTGAATTGAATAGATGTGGCCATTTTAATGCATGATATTTAAGTATTAATATAACAAAAATTTGTTTAAATATTAAAGTTGCAATATATTTGTGCAGAATAGATAATTTGCTATCTCCTAAATTTTGCATGTGAATACATCTTTAATACGCAACAATTGAAAATATTAACATCTATAACAATGTTTAGGTACATAGAAAATATGTTCTAGAGCAGTGTTTCTCAACCTTTTTTTTTTCTCATGGCTCCCTTTTGAGTTTGATTTTATCTCTGTGGCCCCACCCTTCGTAGACACTGTCACTTAGGAAAAAAAAGTTACTTTATTTCCACACTGTTGATTTATAATATTTTTACAATATTTGTATTGTTTTTTAAATTTTTTTTTTTTTTTTTTTTTTTTTTTTTTTTTTTTTTTTTTTTTTTTTTTTAAAAAAAAT